GCCCCGGGTGGCGGCCGGCGCGGCGGGCCAATTCAAAAGAGCAGCAGGACGGAGCCCGAGCGCCACATCCCACGGCTGTCGGCCCGGCGCTGGTCCCGAGGTCTTCGGGACAGCCACTGCCCTTGGCGGTCCCTCAGCCCCTCGGCCGACGGGGGGCGGACCCCACCTCGTCGCACCCAACGGGAGCGGGACGTCCGGAGGCGGAACGGCACCCCAGAGCGCGCCCCAGAGGCCGCATCCGGGAGCGACACACCCCAGGACACAGAACCAGGGTAGGTTCAAAGGCGACGGGCACGATTGGCGAGAGCCGCCCGGAGGGAGGAAGGAGCCCGGGGCAGGGCGCTTTTGGCGACCTTGGGTGGACGAGTTGCGGAGGGATTAACTCCCTCGTCCACCGCGTCGGGGTGTTAGGAAGCCCCGCCACTTAGGGCCCCGGGCTGGGACCCGGAGAGAGGGTGGGACCGGGTCCCCCTCCCTCCACGAGGGGAACACCCCACTCCCTGCGGCCTGAACAGAGAGACACTACAAGCCACAACCCCACAGGGGGAAACTCTGAACCAGGGGTCTGCTACCCCGCCCCGCAGAGACGGGTAACTATTGACGGGTTCACTGACCCCCCCTCTCCTCCTGGGAGGGGGTGATCGCACCCAGCATCGGGGGTTCTCCGACGGGGGGCCCCCCGGACGCCCGAAAGGCACTAAGAGGGGGCACTAGGGTTCGCTGACCCCCCCTCTCGGACCGAGAGGGGGTGATCGCACCCCGAAACCCCCACAGGGACAATAAACTCACTGATATAAATGTAAAGGAGTAATATAACACCTGTAATCTTGAAGACAAAATTCTTAGATAAATAACACATTAAAAAGAGTTGCTAACCTGTTGTAGAATAGTCATAGCAACCCAGAATTAGAGGGTAATAAGTTGAGCTCTTTTGTATTAAGAATTGAACACCTGATTTAGCATACAACCTTCTCTCTCAGCATTTGGCTTCTTCAAATGTTATAAAAAGACTTTGAGATACTCTTGTAATTGTCTGCACTATCTGCACAGAGCCATGTGTATATAATATAATATTCATAAGCTCCAGGGGTTAGGTACTTCAAACACCAAACAAAAGGAATACAAATGTGCACACCTTCTATCTTGTGTCTTAAAATAATAATCAGAATGATAAATGTTGCAGAATGCTGTTTTCTAATTCTATTTTGGTGTACTCAGTTCACCTGCTAAAAGCTTAAGCACAGCCCAGGTTTGCGTCTACCACCTAGTGACCAGAGGATTTTACCAGCTAAGTCAGCAGAATCTCCTATCCAGAGGGTTCCTTCCTGAATGTGCTAAACACATATTTCACATTTTTAGCTGTATCTTATACTAGAATGCTTGTGGCAGAACCTGGAAGTACATCTAGACTGTGGGGGGGTTTTGGGATACCTTTGGTATCCCGAAAAAACTCTGCCATGTCCAGGGAACGTATTTGTTCAGCTTTTTTTGGGGGGAAAAGCAGATGCGCTCTTTCGGAAGCCCTGCCTTCCTTGTTCCACAAGAAAGAAGGGATCTCCTGAAAGAGGGTTTTTTCCCCAAAATTTGGCTCAGTGTAGATGGGCCAAATTTCAGAAAAGCCTTTAAAAAAAAAAAGGGCAGAAAAAGGTATGCAAAATGCAGAGCAAATTTTGCATCTTTTTCCACAAAAACATTGTAGTCTAGACTTAGCCTGGGACTTTAGAACAACTTCTCGTGCATTGGACCTAGTACTTAACTTATCATCTGGAAGCTGTATATCGAATATCTTAAAGCTTAGCTGGCAGTACATGTCTGTGCCTGGTATGAATCAAGCTGTAAATCCAGTCAGTGTGTGGTACCTTGAGGGGTCGACATGATATCTTATCCTGCATTGTTCTATGGCACAACTACTATGGGTCTGGCACAGATCAGCACTGCAACCTTGGAGAAGGTTCTCTACTCATTTGGCTCTAGATCACCCATGGAGAGAGGAGAGCAGTGGATGTTTTAATCTTGAGAAAGAACAGCCCAGATTCAAGGATGGGTGAAAATCGGCTCAGATAGGCACAGAATGTAAAAGTGAAAGAGCTCCCTACCATATAACACAGCAGTAAGGATTGAAGTTCACATAGGGCTTGATAATGTGCCCATCGACATCTGTAGGAGCCTGTGTATCCAATGAACACTGCTTTGAATCCCCCTTCAATCAGCAAATGATACAACATTCATTTGAAGTGAATCCAAGTGATATAGCATGATTTTCCTTTCTTACCATCCTTCTGTGTTGTAACTTGCTTCTGCTTTACTGTCTCCAACTCCTGATGCAATTTCAGAACAAAGAGACTCAGAAATACCTGGGAAGTGAGCAGCAGCAGGATAAAGAAAACATGACAGAGTCTCTGTGGGTGAAAATGGGCTGGAAACTCCTTACTGCTTTTTGAGCTTGTTTTCCTACAAAAAAACACACATTGATGTGTTATTTATAAAACCAGCTGAAACATCTGCACTTACACCTAGACCGCAAGCAGCAGTGGAACTTTCTTCCTGTAGGGTCTCGGCAGCTTCTGAATTAATTACACAAGGCAGCAGAGTAATAAAAACCAAAGAGACTGAGCTGAATATTGATGTCATTACTTGTTTATACCTTTCAAGATGGAATAATTAAATCAACTCGTGCTCACCATTCTTAAGCAAAATTCTGGTGCCTCCAACCTGGATTACCAGCGTGCTGTATAAAATATTGTAATGATGGAGACAAGCAGTAACTCCACCAACAGGTGTTCCTGGGTTTTTCTTAGTGTTAAGTGGTTGTTGTGTTTTGATATGATGTTGCTGTATTAGTTGCGAGAGTGTTAGGAAGAAGCTAAGTTTACTTGAAGTTGGTATTTGCTGTAGAGTCTCAATAAATCCCCATGATTTCTATAAGCAACTATTACAGCTGGTGGATGGGGATCCAAGATGACAAAAACATTTTTGCCTGAGTAGAAGTTTACTGAGTAGAAGTTTACTGGAAGCTGTAACTTTGAGCTTTTGCTCTCTATAAATAAGTGGTCTGATGAGGAAAGGAACATGGTGCTTAAAACTGTAGTTGCTGGGTGATGGTGTGAGTCAACCCGCCAGCACCTTGCTATAGCAAATCTGGAATTGGCCATGCAAATTGGGCCCCATACCCAGAGCAAACCAGGACAGAATTCAATGTGAAAAGTCAGTTTGTATAAACGGTTTAACAGGACAACTCTAGAAACTGCTCATGAAGGATGATAACACATTAGAAAAACCTATGAACCGGATTACATGCAGAGTTATAAATGTGGAAGCAGAAATTGGGTTTCCTTAAAGGACTCATCTATTAATTCCCAGCCCCAAATGATTCATTTATACCAGATGCAGCAATTCAAAAATGATTGCTAGGGAAGTGGCTAAAAATTTGGAGAAGGCCCAGGTGCAAGCTATTCACAGATGTCCCATGCGTCATATGAGAGAGACTGTTTCTTGAGTGGCTTCCAGACCAGATGATATTTGCAGGCAGCATGGAATTGCTGAAGCAGGGGGAAGCCTCATCAGAGAAACTAGAAATTGCTGATACAGTAGGGCCACCATCAGCAATTTATGCAATAGCTCATGTTAAGAGCTGCCCAGATACCAGTTACTATATGACAGGAGATGTTTATGGCTGGAAAACCACAATGCTGTTGGACTCCAGGATAAAAAATAAATCTGATCCATGGAGAACATTCCGTGCTGAAGAGAAAGAACTTTTATACAACAGGAGTTAAATTAGTATCGATTCATCACCAGCCACTGCAGACAATAGGAAAAATTTAACTCATGCTGAATTTGGGGTCTCTGCATATCAAATTGACTCTTGTTGTGGGGATCGGTATTTCTAGTGCTGTTGTACTACTTGCAGTGGATTTCATCCAAAGGCATCTCAAGAGTTTCTGGAGGGATAATAGAACAAACTTTTTTCTCCAAATAATAGGTGGGCCATGGGGAGCATGGAGGTGCCTGAAGCATGTCTACAAGCATGAGAGAAATGAATTGCTCTAGTGGTGTCTACGATTAAAGTTATGGTAAAACCAGGTCAACAGTATTCCCCCCCCCACCCTGCCAGAATAGAAGTTTTCTGCACTGAACCTGTAGGAGTGTTTGAATATCCAGTCTTGATGGCTTTTCATCAATATTCTATTTCAAATTGAACTAGTGTGGGAGTTTTGGGTAATGTGACTGACCAGGAGGTACAGTAGCCATTGAAAAAAATCAGACCGTTGGACAAGGCCAGTGTAGCTGGTGTCTCAAAGCCTCTCATGGGGCAAAAATCAAGAGCTATGAAGCTGCACAGTCAATAAAAGAGCTAATTGATTTAACAGACGAAGCTGCACAGTCAATAAAAGAGCTAAGAATTGATTTAACAGATGCATCTGGAAAAGGCAAAGAAAAAAAGTGATTAGAACAGCTGCTCTTACAATATGCTAATGCGTCCCCCAGGAATAAGGAAGATCTTGGGAGGTATGATTCAGCAATATTCAGTTATGCTTAAGCCTGGGAGTGTTTCTGTGAAACAACTCCCATGTTGGATTCCCCTGGTGTTTTAGGTAGCAGAGAAAGATAAGCTAAATAGCACTCAGGAGGATGGTCTGGCTGGGCAATCTCCATCACCTTGGACATCCCCAGGTGTAGCCATGAAAAATTCCAATTGGGACATGAGGATATCTGTTGACTAGAGTAAACGTAATTTACAGACAAATCGACATAGCTACCACCCACTTCCCCATATAGCAGATACCCTGGATACAGTGTCATTAGCAAAACATTAAACTTGTTTTGATCTGCCATCAGATTACTGTGGCAACTATTGAGTAAGAAAAACCTGTCTTTATGACATCTTATGGACTGGTCAATTCTGCATAATGCCTTTTGGATTCATGACAGCACCAGGACTGTGTTAGAAGTTAGTAAATAATCTAATCAAAGTTTTGAGAATGGATACTGCCTCATACTTAGATGACTTCATTTGTTTCCATAAAACACAGGAAGAGCATTTGGTAGGAGTGTAAAGGATTATAAAACTTTTTGAGGAGTCAAGGTTTAAACTTCCAAGAAACAAAAGTCAGTCTGCAAAGAATAGCATCACCTTCCTGTGATATATCATCAGTAACAATGGGTTGGAACATCAACCCCAGACACTGAATGCTATAAAGCAGTGTTTCTCAACCTTTTTTTAAAAAAATACCCCTTTATATATATAAAAGGGGGTACTATATATATATAACTACCCCCAGTACCTACAGTTTTCAGACACACCATTTTTTTTCTACCATTGCAACACATTTGTTTAAACAACTTAATCGTAGCCAGGTGGGTGATGAAATTTTTGGATGTAAAAAGTACAAAAATAATAAAGCGCTGTCAAACTTTAAACAAAAATTCAGTTTTCTCCAAATTTCAGTTGTATTGACATATCCCCCAGACTTTTCTCGAGTACCCCAAGGGTAGTCATACTACTGGTTGAGAAACACTGCTATAAAGAATGGAAGGCTCCAACAAACTTAGAGGAAGTACATATGCCTCTGCAGATTCCACAGGAGATTTTTTATAAAAGTTCACAGCATGGATGGCTAAGAGCAACATTGTCTGTATAGGAGAATACCCAGCCCTCCTCTACAAAAAAAGCTTCTTGAGTCTCCTAAACCTTGCTGTTTAATTCCTCTATTCCTTAATTTTTCTCAACCATAAACTGTGATGCCTTAAAGGCTGCAGGTAGATTTGCACTTGAATAAATTGCATGAGCTTGGTAGTCAGCAATTAAATGAGAGAGAGGCCAAGATCTAGGACCCTCAAATCCTTTCATCCACCTTTATGAATTCACACTGTACAAAAATCAACCACAGCATCCTGCATTGACTCCTTATGAGGTACTGCCCAGAAAGTGGCCTGTGGAGATGGATTCATAAATTGTGTTAATACACATTCACACTTCACTATAAACCTGGAAAGCAAAATGTGGTTGTAGATGCTGTAAGCCAACTGTGGGCAGCAAGAATAGGCTCAGTGTGATCTTATGATGACATTTAGCAAGAACAGTCAGAGCCCCTCATTTATGTATGGTGCACCAATACAGCTGCTGGAGGAAAACAAGACTGGAGATGTTCAATGCAGTTCAGAAACAGTTATCCATTGATCCAGCTACCAACCTGCCGGTGTATGAATATAGCAGAGTTGTCTTGTTGGTAAGCTTACTGTACTAGAAAGCTGTCATGATAATGAAGTAGTAGGTTATGCAGAATATAAAAGGAATTTGAAATGGGTATCCAACAGGGTATTAATTTTGTCTGGGAATAGCTGAAGATGTTAAGGAATGAATACTTTCCTGTCTTATCTGTCAAGAAAGGAAAGCACCACAAAAGGAGATGCAGAACTTCTTTAGGGGAAAGGCCCCAAACTAGTCTGTCCTGGGAGTTCATACAGATTGACTTGAAAGGCCCACTACTAGAATAACCAGATGAAAATGAGAATTTGCTGGTAGCTCACAATATCTTTTTAAAGACTATGGTGCTCCAAACATGCCTGAGACAGTATTCCAGGAAAAGGAGAGTTACCTGCCCATACAGGAAGGAGAGAAAGTTTGGCTCTACAACTAGAAAAATCTGTCAGGGACCTCACAAAGTGCCTAAAAAATGGCACAATGATTCCTTGCTGATTTGTACTTGACAAGAACACATGTACAGATTTACTGAAAGAAAGGGGAGAGAGTACATGCGGAGTCTTCATAAATTTCCAGGCTAGAAAGGGAACTCCGGAAGAACTTCCCTGAAATAATTCCTGTTTGAATTAGACCATCTCTTTATAAATATATCCAATCTTGAATTAACAAATGCTGGTGATAGAGGATCTATCACAAGCCATGTTAAAGTGTTTCAATGATTAATTTGTTTCATAGTTAAAGTGTATGCTTTATTTCCTATCTGAATTTGTCTAGCTTCAATTTCCAGCTACAAGATCCTGTTATGCCTTTGTCTGTTAGATTAAAGAGCCCACTATTAAATATTTGTTTCCAGTGTAGATACTCATAGGCTACGTCTAGACTGGCATGATTTTCCGCAAATGCTTTTAATGGAAAAGTTTTCCGTTAAAAGCATTTGCGGAAAAGAACGTCTAGATTGGCACGGACGCTTTTCTGCAAAAGCACTTTTTGCGGAAAAGCGTCTATGCCAATCTAGACGCGCTTTTCCACAAAAAAGCCCCAATTGCCATTTTCGCGATCGAGGCTTTTTTGCACAAAACAAATCTGAGCTGTCTACACTGGCCCTTTTGCGCAAAAGCTTTGCGCAAAAGGACTTTTGCCCGAATGGGAGCAGCATGGTATTTCCGCAAGAAGCACTGATTTCAGACAGTAGGAAGTCAGTGTTCTTGTGGAAATTCAAGCGGCCAGTGTAGACAGCTGGCAAGTT